GAAGTTGATTTTTTTTTCTAATAAAAGTTGTAGCAGATATTGAAACGAATACAATGGTTTTTGTATTTTTTTATTCGGATCATTTTTGACCGAGTTACAGCGCTTTAAAGTTTTAATATTGCCAAAAACTGCTGTATTTGTCTTGATGCCAGCCACTTCTATTTGAATCCAAAAAAATGCAACAAAGAACAAAGAACAGTCGATTTACTTTTTTTAAGTAGAATTGTACATTTATTATTTTAATATTACAGTTATAAAGTAATTTTAATATTTCTTTTTCCCTTCGACATAGCCGCCATCATGTAGAATGCACTGCTGCAATCTTCTCATCGTCTCCTTTTCGACGTTTTTTAACATTTCGGGGGTCATGTTGGCGAACCTTACGATGATCGGTATTTCACGATAAACTAAAACACTTCAGTTCCGTAGGCATAATACGTACATAATAAACACAAATACGAGCGTATGCTCAAATATGAATGCAAAAACATAAACACGAACGAACTGCCAAATGTAAACAAATAAATGCCAAGTTCGCCGGTTTTTTCTTTACGGAATAATTCAGTTTTAACTGAAGTAAGTTAGTTTATCGTGAAATATCGATCAAATAAGTTCAGCACTGTGTAATGAAACATTAAGTTGCTTAATAATGTCTACTTTTACGATGGCAGAGAAAATTGAATTTGATCGATATTTCACGATAAACTAACTTACTTCAGTTAAAACTGAATTATTCCGTAAAGAAAAAACCGGCGAACTTGGCATTTATTTGTTTACATTTGGCAGTTCGTTCGTGTTTATGTTTTTGCATTCATATTTGAGCATACGCTCGTATTTGTGTTTATTATGTACGTATTATGCCTACGGAACTGAAGTGTTTTAGTTTATCGTGAAATACCGATCATCGTAAGGTTCGCCAACATGACCCCCGAAATGTTAAAAAACGTCGAAAAGGAGACGATGAGAAGATTGCAGCAGTGCATTCTACATGACGGCGGCTATGTCGAAGGGAAAAAGAAATATTAAAATTACTTTATAACTGTAATATTAAAATAATAAATGTACAATTCTACTTAAAAAAAGTAAATCGACTGTTCTTTGTTCTTTGTTGCATTTTTTTGGATTCAAATAGAAGTGGCTGGCATCAAGATAAATACAGCAGTTTTTGGCAATATTGAAACTTTAAAGCGCTGTAACTCGGTCAAAAATGATCCGAATAAAAAAATACAAAAACCATTGTATTCGTTTCAATATCTGTTACAACTTTTATTAAAAAAAAAAATCAACTTCCATTTACAAAAATGGCTTCCATCAAGATATCTCAAAAGTGGCGCCACCTGTAACTGAACAAGTTTCATTATATTATGTCCCCCTTGTAACCATACAATTTTTGTTTGGACTATTTTCTTCTAAACCCATTAACTTCGCAATAAATCACTACGGGCCACGTTAATTCACACATACTGTATATGTGTGTGTGTGGCGTCCTGCCTTACGCCACATAAGCGTAACGGCGTATAACGCCCTGGCCGCACGGCAATCTAGGCACACAAGTACGCGCGCAGCAGCTCGAACGTACAGGCGCCGATCTTCGCGCAAGTGAAATCCGGCGGGACCCGTATATAAGGCCGACCACGGCAAGCCGAATTCGAGTCTCAGCTCGAACCGACTATAGGGTCAATAACACTATACGTCAATCAGTTAGAATACTCCTCTTTTGGAATTGGAAGGTAAAACTTCCAAAAACATTCGCCGCCAGCCGAGCCGCATTCCTCGACCAGCGTCGACGCCCCGATCATCCGGGCCACTTCGACCGTCGTACGGTGCAGCTGCCGAGCCGGAGAGGAGAGTGTCCTTCACCTTGCTGCCGTGGACACTGCAGCCAATCGACCTGGAGCCGCCTCGTTTCACCAGGCCACCAAGGGAGTTGCTAGCCATCTGGGACATCAAGATACAACGGTACACTTCACCACCAGCATCCTGAGCATTTCCAGCGGCTCTATCTCCTCTGCCTCCATCTCCGATCCACCGGACAACCCAGGGGACGCAGACCACCGCAGTCAGCCGGACACACAGAGGAGTTCAGGTGACGCAGCCGCCGAAATCAACGGCGGACCAGGAGACCCAGTCCGACTCCGACTGGGAGACGCCCACGAGCACGGCGGCCACACAGACGGAGCCACCGAAGCGCCGCAAACCGGAGGTGGATGTCAACAATAACGACGACAGCTCCTGGGGATCGCACCTGTACACTAAGGCGACTCCGCGGATTTCGTACCGGGAACGCGTACATAAAAACGGCCCTTTTCAGGGCCTTGTAAATAAATGTGTAAAATAAACTGTACATAGATATCCATACTGCGAGTAATTGATTTAAGCGGAAACCTCGTCAACCTTGCGGCCAGTAGCGCATACTCTTCCGACTAAGATCGAGCGAACACGCAATCTAACGACGCCATATATAGTATATATTGCGACGTTTCTCTTCTTCTTGGGTTCTAATTTTGGTCGGATAGAACGCCGTCAAACACGGGAGGAGTATACGATCTCCGCGCTCGGAGGAACCGGGATGAAGGGTGCTCGCGCGGGCCGCGGCGGAGCGGAGGCCGTTCGAGAGCTCGATCGGTTGGGCGCCAGATGCGGTCTTTCACGCATCAGTTTTCTACTAAACTTTTCACACAGCGCGAAAGGTGTTAGCCTCCCTCGCCACGGGCTGATTAGCTCGCTTAACGGTAGAGGGAAGGGGTTCTTGGAGCGGGTTAATTAATTAATTAATGCGATGGGCGAGAGACACAGAAACGAATATCTGTGATCGCAGAGGGACGAACCTTCGAATAAATTACGCGAATTCGAATAGACAATATAATAGATTTATTGGTAACAAAAAAAAATATAACAGCTGAGAGTAAATGAACAAAAAAAAACATACAAGTCCGCTCGAATGACAAATCCGATCGCAACGAGGTTCACAATACCTCGATTAACGACAACCAATTGAAATGTAAAACGCAATCAAAGATAACTTGAGTAATGAGACGTGATTCGCTGCAAATGTTCGCCCGAGATAACTAATCGAAAAGAAAGCTAAGCCGATATAATAGCGGTAAATCGAGCCGAATCCGCCAGGCTTTATAATTACAATACACAGGCTCGAATGCGCGAAACTCTATTATTACGGAGAATAGCGAGAAGCGCATCGAAGATTACAACTACTGAGAACTGAAAGAAAGGCGCGAGCTCCTGCAATTACTCAGAACGAAAAGAAGCGCGTAAGCGCCGACGAGTTCGGGGAACCGAACGAGGCGCGCTATTATAAGTACGAAAAACAGAAAGAAGTACGAGATCTCTGAGTTATCGAGAACGGAAGTGACCATTTGATACTTTATATTATTTAATTACCGTAACCGAGATACCGCCGAGAGGCTGTATCTTACTGCAAGAATGGCAATTTCCAATCGATCGGAACGCAGAATTCGCGTATCGCAACGCTAAGGCGTCCCTGCCGATGCATACACGGCACGGCGGGTATCGACAGCGTACGCCCTCGACAGCCGATTGTTCGCACGTCCGCGGTCAGCGGACTGCGAATCGCAAGAACAGAGAACGCACGTAGAGAGAGATGGTCGAGAATCGAGGCCGGTTTTGGTCGCGTAACTTCCGGTCCGCTATCACAATCTCCAAGGTACTTACTGGTTCGCCGCTTAAACCGTCGCGGAACGTTTCCCTTGGGGTGACGGTCGACAGCACTTACGATCGGTCGGAGTCGCTCCACTCCGACCGGCGATAGCCTCGAGGTTAAAAGTTCCGCACTAACGCGCGTCACCCGGATAACGGAGAGGCGAACGATTATACCGGGTGAGACCGATCGACGGACCACGGTCGCCCCTTGAACACGGTCGCACTCGACTTCCTTTCACTGCCACGAAATTTACTTCAACGAAACGCTAATCGCGACCGGCCAGAGGGGTCGACTCGCAAGCCGTTCCGGTGACCGACGTACAAATTTTCGATACAAAATTCTAGATAGCCGGGTGACCTCACCGTTGCACTCGTCTCCGGTTGCTTCCTCAACTCCGTCCTTCTTTCGTGCCGAGCGTTAGCGATACTCTCTCTCCTTAAACGTCGCCGAACTTTCGCAGAACAAGTGTCTCGATTCTCTCGGAACCGCTCTATTTATTCTTAAAGGATCGCCCCGCACCCCATCGAGAGGGGTGATAGGCCCGTTCCCACGCGCTCGAATTTTCGAGCGCGGCGCAAGGGCGCATCATGCGCCCGCGATCCCGCGCCTCCGCTGGTCCGCCGTTCCGGCACGCTTTTCATCGCCCGGTGCTGGGGGGAATTCTCCAGTCCGGGCCGTCCTTTGCGGCCTTCGTCTCTCTCCAGCGGAGGGTAGCGCCTCTTCCTGATTTTGCCGAAGAGATTTAGCTTCTTCGCGGGGTGCTTTCGGCGCCCGTCATTGCTGGCCGGCCCTGGGATGCTGGGCCGATGGACCGAAAATGTGCGAGGCTGCTCGATTATCGCCGACCCTTGTTTTTCACAGCCACTGTTTTGATCGGTGATGATTCAGCAAGGCCGCTTTTCTTGTTGACTTCCAGGTAGATCTTCGTTGTAGATTTATGGCCTCATGAACAATATAATTTCGACAAATAGGATTAGTAACAAGGTTTTTGCTTATAAACAAACGCGCTCGCCTCTCTGAAAATCCCGGCGGGGCTCTCGATTTCTCGACCGGCGCGGCCGCTCGGCTCGCGTCACGCAGTCTTTTTAGCGGGTGGACGTCCGTCGTGACGGCAACGTCACAATATATATATATATATATATATATATATATATATATATATATATATATAGATATAGATATACGTATAAGAGTGCTCATATGCAAATGTGCATGCATTTTGCAATTATGTATATATATTTTATGTTCATGGTAGCTATAGGTGCCCATCTTTAATGTTATTATTTTATTAATTTAGGTGATACTTTTGCCAGGGGGGCGCCCGTTGGATAGGAACACGAATATAGGGTGTCCATATAATTTCATCATACGAAAAGTTACTAGTAAGTAATGTTTTGATATAAATATACTTGTAGGGTTTAATATTATGAATTTTTGTCATTAGAGTACTTGAAAAAGGGGAATTGTTATAAGTGAAGGTTTTTAATATGAAATGTTAATATTTTATAAGGCTTGGTACATGCATTCATGTATAAGAGAGTATGATCGTAAATGTTCATAGTTAATTTTTTGATGATGTCCATTGGTCTTATTCTGATTTTTAAGTTATTTTAGTCTAAATTTTCTATTATTATGGTCCATTTATGTTAATTAGTTTTTCTTTCTTTTCATTGGCTCATGTGTATATGCCTTAAGCATATAGATATTATCCATTACGTTATACTTAATGTTTTGCAATTTTATAAAATATTGGCAGCTTTCTGCTAAAAATTATTGTTCTTATGACCAAATATTATTTTATATTAAAATTTTCAGGTATTCAGGAGGGGATCACGTGACTTCATCATATAGGGTATTCCTATTCGATTTTTAGGTAAGATCAATTTAAATTATTATTTGTGTCGTGGTCCCGCTAGTATTTGTTTAAATTTCTTTACTGACTTATTATAAGTGAATATTTTATTTGTTAAAATTTTATTATTCATTTATTCTTGGTTATATAAAGGTGGATGTATATAAATGTCTATGTATATATTTTCTTTCGGATTATTTTGTAGAATCTGGCGTTAGAATTTTATTATCAAAATTTTATTCCTGAAATTTTAATCATTAATATTTTATTAAATTATGGCCTAAGACCATATATTTATTTTTATTTGTTTTCAGGTGTCACAAGAAGAACAAGCAAGGCCGAATGTTATTGTTTTTAAGGGTAAGTTTTATTAAAATTTATGCAAATTCTTTATTATTATTATTATTATTATTTGTATTTAAGTCATTTCGATTTTATCGATCATTGTGAATTATTAGCACTATGAGATTTATTAGTTTTATCAATTGTTAAATCCTTGTTATTATTTTACGTTTTTTATTTATAATTTTGTCTTTACAGGTTTTATAGGATATTCATTAAATATTCATTGTTTATTGGGCATTATTATATATCTCCTATAATTATTCAATGGGACATAATTTATATTATTATAAAATATTTTAATATTTACCATTCTTGTATCTGTTAAGTTGTCCTTCTGACGATATTAAGTTGAACACTAGCAATTTTGATTTTACTAATATTATTTAGAAGGAGAATTCGTTTGACATTCATACAATTTTTATTTCGTATTTCGATTGTTAGTATCGCGCATTAAATTTTTACGTGCATGCAGCTCTTATTTATTTAGTTTTATGATTTACAGGTTACACTGAGAGCGGTATATCGACGGTCAGTGAGGAACAAATATTATAAAATATTATCGTCGTGAGGGGTTACATCTATATATCCAATGGGTTGGAATTATTATTCCAGAGAGATGTATGAGAGCATTTTCAGCCAAATTTAGACATGTATTTTTCTTGATGAATTAGTCGTATAGTGCGTTGATCCACTTGGTAATGGTATCACGATTATATCCTTTTTATAATTCTATTGTAAGAGATGCCGAAGTTACGACACTTGCATTTGATTAATTCGATTATTAGCATCGCATTTATATATCTGGTGAGTCGAAATTGTTGTTTTAGAAATACATACGGGGGCATTTTCAGTCAAGTTTGAACATGTAACTATCTTGATAATTTAATCGTACAGGGCGTTGATCTACTTGGTAATGGTATCATGATTATACCCTTTTTATAATTCTATTGTAAGAGATTTCGAAGTTACGATAACTATATTTGGTTAATTTATCTTAGCAATTTTATTTTCATATTGACAGTTGAGTTTTAATTATTTTATAATTTCATATTTACCTTTATGTATTTATGTGTAAATTTATTATTCCTTCGATTATGCTTATTTACTTGATGTATTATCGTTGGTTTTCCATTTCATTCATTTATTAATCACTTATAAATTTATTTCATCATTGTCTATTATATGTTTTTACATCTGTGGGTCGATATTATATCTTTACGAATTTTTTTAGGTACAATAGTTCGGGGCTAAGAGACGTCGGGTGTAATGAGTGATTACTTTATGTATAATTATGAGGGGTATTTTATTCGATATTTTGGTAAGGCTAATTTAAATTAATAATTTTCCCTTATTCAATTATTTTATTACTCGCGTAAGATTTGAGTTCATTCTTCATATAAATGTATTATATTAATTTGACCATCGCGTATTGAGGATTTTATATCGTATATTATTCATATTAATTATTTTGATTGATTCTATCGAGGTTTTTTCCAATTGTTTATCAAGTTTGTTATTTAAAAAATTGTTACTAAAAATTTGTTACTAAATTTTTGTCACTAAATTTTTGTTACTAAATTTTTGTTACTAAATTTTTGTTACTAAATTTTGTTACTAAATTTTGTTACTAAATTTTTGTTACTAAATTTTGTTACTAAATTTTAGTTACAAAATATTTTGACTTTCTATTCATAGATTTGCTTTCAAAATTTTGTCACTAGAAAAGTTACTAGAAAAGTTACTAGAAAGTTACTAGAAATTTTATTGTTGACCTTTTTATTTGATTAATGAATTGCTATGGTGAAGTTTGCACTAAGTTTATTAGCCTTATTTCTTGTTAATTGTTTTATTTCTTTTACAGATTACCGGAGGGATACATATGCATGCATATGTATACGGGGAAGAAAAGGGTCGATGGATCAACATTTCTTCATCAAAAATCATAGGGGTTATTTCAATGCATATTTTCATACATACGTATATACATATATATGTATTTTGTTAAGACATCGGTATTGTAAGGACCTTTGATTATATGAGCTTTTTTAATAGTACTTTTATAAGACGTACGTATTAATATTATATTATTATATTACTAACAACGTTAAAATATTTAATTATCGTATGTTTAATTATTTAAAGGTGATTACATTGTTTTTGTGATTATATAATACGCTTTGCCTGTCATGTCTTGTGCATATTAATTGTTTGATCAATTCTGTCGAGTAATTGTTAAATAAGTTATCAAATTTGTTGCTAAAAATTGATTATTGAATTTTATCGTTAATATTTGATTTTTCTAATCATGTTTTATTATTGATATTCCGTTAAAATTTTGAGATTCATTAACTAATTAATTTTCTCTTTCAGGTGCAGGACTACCGCGGCTTCAATTTTAGGCGACACTCGAATTGGTTGACACCGAGATGGGTGATCATTCAAAATGACTCACATCGCGGGATTTTATATAGATCTCGATTGTTAGTATTATTTTTAGAGGTAATTAAGGAATACGAGATTTAAAATTGTAATACTAACTGACAAGAATGTATATAGGTATATGTATCAATAATTTAATATTCCCCAATAGCCAAGTCTGCTAAAGCAGATCTTGTCAGGGAATCTGTTAGAAATTGTTGTCGACAGAAAGATTACAGAATCGATGCAGGTTCTGATATATCATGTGATGTCGCCAGAATGTCAACAGAAATATAACAAAGCTTGTTAACATAATCAGTTACCAGATTGGCAGCAAAAATCGAACAGATTCTGCCGGCATAACTTAGTGGCAGATTGGTGGCAGAAATTGAACAGGATCTGTGCGATGCAATTTGACAACAGATTGTCGGCAAAAATCGAACAGGATCTGCGCATACAATCTCTGATAGCAGATTGATGGCAGAAATGGAACAGGATTTGCATGATTCGATAGTTCTTTCACTTACCGCTACGTGAGCTGTACTTTCTCGTAATTGAATTTCTGTCAGAAATATATATAAAGTCACGAATATGAATAAAAGACTAAAAATATAGTAATTATCATTTTAATTTTTCACTTTAATTTCTGATATCTGATACAAGCAAATGAGAGTCAGAATTCAGAATATTAAACTGATTGGAATCAATATAATATATGGAAAATTATTCATGCACTGGCTATTTGAGGCATAAAGCAAGAATTTAATTCTAAATAAATTACATCTCAAGTTTTACAAGTTACATTTACTTTATTATTAATTTAATTAAATAGAATTGAAATTAGTCCTTCGCTATATGAAATATAACTATGATATAACATATTACATATATGTCATTTTCTATAAGAAAATTCTAATTAACTTGCCGATAATATTGTTATTTAGCACCTGTAATAATCAATTTTGTTGCATTTATATAATATTAATAAAAGTGCAAATCTTGTGAAATTTCTACTGTCCATTTGCCATCAGGTTGCATCCGCAGATTCTGTTCGGTTTCTGCGGACAATCTAACATCAAATTGCACGCGCAGATCCTGTTCGATTTCTGCTAACAGTCTGACATCAAGTCATGTTAGCATTGATAGCAGATCCTGCTCAGTTTCTGCCGACAATCTGATATCCGATTCTGTGAGCAGGTTCTGCTAGCAGATTAGAAGCAGAATGAGGACGCAGTAGATGTCATTCTGCTGACATGGTTTGATCAAATCTGTTGCCAGTCTGTCGACATACTGCTTACATTTTGCTTATTGGGTTGATTCATATGTCTTAAGATATTGATTTTATAAACGGCATACAATAAGATTTTATAAATGTTTGTACTTTTGCTTTATATAGATGAGATATTGAATTATCATTAATCATATAATAATTTTGAATTTTGGTTAATGCATTAAGATTTCGATTGTTCATATATCAAAACGATTTTATACAATTTATTACAATTTATTTAAGAATACTGTTGCTAAAAATGTCCTTTATTAAGTTCTCGTTGTTCAAGGCATCACTTTCTTAAAGAAGTATTATTTCTATCTTAATTTATTCGCGATATCCATGTGGGATAAAAATCGTCGTGTTTAATATATATATATGTATGTATATTAATTATTTTAATATTTTCTCTGCAGGTTTTTAGAGAGTATATATATATACTCATTGGGGAAGGAAGGCCTGTAAATCATTTCATATGTATATTTTGATAATCATAAGGAAATTATATAGGTAAGCGTAAATGTTTCCCTTTGCTTTATTATTTTACATATTTATACATGTTAACCTATTGTTTATTTTGTTAATTTTTAGGCATTAACTTTTATTGATATTATAAGGGATCTTTTATGTATTAATTATGTGCATTTAATTCATTATAATATGGCGGTTAATTATTATTGTTAGTAATTTGCTTTACGCGTATTTACTTGTAATTGGATTATGGGATATATGTATGTGTCCAATTTATATATTATTAAAATTTATGTCCTTGGTTATTGGTTGGACGTTTGTCATGAAATAATTTAATATTAATGTATAACGTTAAATTGAAGATTTTTATATTTTAATTATATTATCTTGGAGTGTCATTATTTTCTTCGATTATTTTATAGGAAATTGTATATAGACCTTTTATTAATTATTGTTCTTTTCGATTGTTCTTTTCCAGGTTTCTAATGGTGAGAATCTACATATAAGAGGGGGTCTACATGGCGAAAAGAGAGATGTTTCAAACCAATAATTTGTGCTACGAGATTCCAGCGATATATAGGCATAAACATTCTTATTATTATATTTTGTTTATTCCTCTGGTTCAACAAAATGTTTTATAAATTGATTTTATTTCATTGAAAAATTCTTATTAATTCTTGATTAATACATACTGTATTTATTTAATAAATTCTGTATGTCATGAAGAATAGTTAGGGGACTTTTATTTATCTGACAGTTCAAGCAGAGGCAAATATAGATTTTAATTTATTTAATTTCTTCTCTTGAATTTTAAGTTATTGTATTTATAAATTTTGTTTATGATTATCAGGTACATTTTGTTGTTCCGTTTTGTGCATCTATGTGTATGTTTTGTTTAGTAGTTAGGTTAGTGGAATTAATATAATAATTTTATTTCAATATATATATATGTATATGTGTGTGTTAATAGAATTAGTTATAATTAGATATATATATATATATATATATATATATATATATATATATATAGTATATGTTGTGACGTGGCCGTCCCGTCGCGTCTATCCGCCCCGGCAATTTTGACGGGGCGCGAGCCGAGGGGCCGCGCCAAAGGTCAAGAGAGAGAGAGAGAGCTACCGTACTCCCCGGAGAGACGAGCGAATTAGTGTAATAGTGTATCCGATTAATTATTTTTTTTGTATTTTTTTTAATAATTGCGTCGAGTCTGAGGCACCTCACCACCGAACACCGAAGACCAGGGGAGAGCAGCATCGCCTCCTCACGACAGCTAAGAACGACAGCCGAGGGACCTTCATAAGAGCGGAGGATCCTGTCCCGGAAAGCCCGGCATCGTGAATCCGGACAGGGGAGAGCGGCATGGCCTCCTCTCGACAGCCGGG